CCGCCCCCTCGACGCCCCCTCCCCGCCACGGCGGGGAGGAGCTCGCAGCTGGGGGAGGGGTCTGAAGAGGGATGGAGAGACCGCGGAAGGCTTCCAGGAGCGCAAAGGTCCTGAGGGAGGTGGACAGTGTACGCTCTGAGCCAGGGCTGGCCCCTGCAGATGATGGTCTGTTCTGGGCCTACCTGGAGGCTCCGAGCACAGTTCCTCCAGAATCCTCCAGGTAGGAGGGGGAAGGTGAGTCCACTCTTGAGCAACCCAGAATTCTAAAAGGAGACCTAGAACAGCAGTGTCCGTGGTGTCCCCAAGCATGATGACCTGGCGATAGTGTGGAACCCCTGGAGAAGGGGCATAGGAGCGCATGGCTGGAGTCCAGTTTGGCACTTGACCAGCCTGAACCCCAAGGTACCTGGCCCTGAGAGCCAGGCGGAAGGCTGTTAAACTGGCAGATTCATCCCAAGTCCATCTCCAGGCAGTCTGGGCTGTCAGGGCATGGCCAAGTCTCCAGCTGTGGGGAGGCCCAGCACAGCCCTTGTTCCAGGCACCCCCCACCCCGAGCGCCACCACCCCCACATTCTTGCTTTGTTGTGAAAGCAGCAAGGGGTGTAGGAGGCGGGTCAGGAGGAGTCAAGCTTTCGAAGATGGGCCCCAGCTGCTGCTCAGGCCTCCTGGATATGCGGAGAGAGGATGGATAGTGCCTTGTCCCCCCTCTGGCTTCAAGCCCCCCCAGGCCTGCTCAGACCTCCCTTTCCCCAAGCAGCTGGGAGGAGGAGGGGCAGCCACAGAGGGCCTCACAGGCAGGAGAAGTGGCGCCAGGACTCCAGGGTCCTGCCACATGGCCACCACATGTCCCTGACAACCCAGTGCACTGCACCTTCTCCTTGGGTTGTGGGGCCTCCTTCCCCTTCCCCCAGATGCCTTCCCACAGGCTCTGCTGGAGAGGGTACAAACCACGGGAGGAAGGAGAGCCATCCAAGCCAGCGCTCCTCTCCTGCCCCACCCCTCACTGCCCCTCGCCCTTCTGAGAAGGGTTCCAACGTTACCCTGGCTTTCCACCCTTTGGATCAGGACTCGAGTGGCACAAAGGTTACCTGATTGTTTTATTTAAGAAAAGTGAAATACATGGACCTGAAGTGAGGCAGCAGAGGAAAGGGACTAAGAGGCTAGCCAGCCCCAGACCCTCCGGCAGAAAAGCCTGCAGCAGGTGGCATCTCTGAGGCACGTGGCTGCTTCTTGCCCACCTTGGCGGCCTCAGAGCTAACTACTCCAGAGGACCATAGAGTAGGGAGAGAGTGTCCTGAGGGTCCTTCCTAGGGGGATTCCTGAGGAGGGAGCGGAGACCCTAAGGGCAGCAGCAATCTTCAATCTCTGGTTCAACCACTCCCTTCACTATCCCACCTTGGGGTGGGGCGGAGCCAGGAGCAGTGGGGAATGCTGTGAGGGCTGTGGGGGAACCCAGCAGACCCGGGGGTGAGTTAAATGTCAGCTGCTTGAAGACAGGTCCATGGTGCTGGCACTGAGGCCTCGGGAGACCTGAAACACACAACACCATCCATCGGTCTCCCAGAAACTGTCTCCTGGCAGCCTGTCCCATGGCTGCAGTCCACCTCTAGATCTAGGGTACAGCCCATAACCTCAACCCCGAGCTCTGGGACTTTGTTTTTAGCCTCTATTGGGATTTTCCAGGCCACAGTCTGGTAGAAAAACCACCTGGAAAAGCCACATGAATATTGGCATATCCTTTAAATATGTGGACACAAGGGGTCATTTGCCTTTAAAATGTCCTTACTGTTTTCTCAGAGATTACTAACACTTTTTTCTGTTTCTCTCTCATCTACTAAGTCCCCAAGGAGAGGAGTATAGTGGCTGCTGGAGAGGGAGCAATTAACATCCCCAAGAAATTCTTGAGTTAGCCACAGTTCCAAAGCACCATTCTAGAGAATACGAATTTCTGTCCCCCTCCTGATGAACTTATGTGCTACCATGTCTGGCCTGATACTGCTTGATGGTCCACCACCCCCCAACAAACTGTCTGCCCGGTTCTTTAATGACCAGTTCCCTGGCTTGTCTCCATCCCAGACAACTCCCCTGCCCCACCTCCCACTGGCCTTGCTTGCAGACTGTCCTTCGCTTCTCACCCACCCACAGCTCAAGCTCTGCTCTCACCTGAAGGGGAGCCGCACTGGGTTGGTTCAGATAGTTCAAGGAGGCTGCTCGCTTCATATTGCTGCTACAGTGCAAAAAGAAAGAAAGGAGGCCTCCTCTTGAGTGGCGCTAAAGCTGTGGGCTTCTGGGGCACTGCCACACGAAATCAATCACCGTCTCCCCACTGTTACCCCCCCCAACACACACTCATATACACTCTCTCCTTTTTTTTAATAGATATTTTTGCTATAAGGTGTGTGCCCTCACTGGAGAGACAGAGAGAAAGAAGCGAGAAATCATCCCCCCAGGGGGATGGCCACACTGCAATCCCTTCTCCTCCAGTCTCCTCCTGGGGTTTTGGGCACACACACACGTGTTCCCAGCATGAGTTTTAAGCCACCGGGTTCAGGACTTGAACTGCAGTCGACTACATGGGAGTCCAGTGGCGTGACCATTATGCCATCTGCTGGTCCCCATATGCTCTCTTAACTACATCCAGAACAAAAATCTCCTCACATACCTTCATCCACCCCTGGTGCCCCCATCCTGCTTGAACTCTTCTCTCCATACCACTGACCTCCAGCTTTCTCTCTGGACACCTCCAAAGACCAGTGGCCAAGAGGAGTTGGAAGCCAGGGCTTATTTGCCTGATACACCACATCTCAACTCCGCTGTGTACCTGGAAGACCGAGTCTCAGTCCCCTGGAGCTTCCTCACCAGGAGTTCGCTGCTTCTACGAAGCACATCTCGGAGCTTTCCCAGAGAACCACTCCTCTGCAGGGACCCACTGCCATCCTGGTAGAGGGAGAGGCGATGAAAGCTAACGGGTTTCCACGCAGACCCACTTTGTTTTGTTTTGCCTTTTAGAGACTTTTGCTGTAAGATGTTGAGTGCTCACCAGAGAGACAGAAAGACAGAAAGCAGGAAATCAGCCCCCTTCCCCACCCCCGGGGGATGGCCACACCACAATCCCCTCTCCATTCTCCTCTTGGGATTTTGGACATGCATGCACACGCACCCAGTGTGTTTCAAGCCACTGGGTTCGGGACTCCAACCATAGCTGGCCACGTGGAAGTCTTGCACCTTAACCACTACACCACCTGCCTGCCCCCAGATCCAATTTGGTGTCCACTCCTGCTGTTTCTTCTGCACACATTTCCCACCCGCAAAGCCCAGTGATTGTAAACAAGAGCCTCAGCAGAAGCTGGCTCCCAGGAGTACCCCTGAAGGGATGGGCTGACTAGAACAGGGGTCACACACCCTCATTCCCTACATGAGCCTGGAGAAAGGCAGGCTCTGTGCCTCCACCCCACCAGCAGGAGTGGGCCAGAGATCAACGGCAATGAGCAAACTTACCCCTGACCACTCCACGGCCACAGAAGCATCTTCGCCTCCCTCAAATTTCACACTGTCCCCAGGGCCCTCCTGGGAGGCCCTTTTACTGTCACCATCCCCCAGCAATTCTGCCACCTTGGCCTGACTGAGAGTGTCCGTGCCCTGGAAGGAAAACAAAGGAGCTGGGACTTCCTCCTCCTCCGTTTCTCAGGATGGGGCTTTCAGACTGTTTCCGTTAGTTTTTACCGTAAGTTACTGCAAGGAAAGCACGTCTCCTTGTCATGGCCCAGCACACCCTCGCTAGAAAGAGACTCACCTCCTCCTCTACGTACAGATACGTTCATATTCTTAGCATGGCCCCCACTCGTCTCTATTTCACAAGCTACTCATGAGCTGAAATACTCTCAGGGCTCTTGTCAACCTCACCCCCACCCCCACTCATGCCCTCCTTAAGTAAGGCCAGGGTTTCCCCCTTTACACCCCAATTTAGTGAAGGAAATCTTTTTTCTTTTTTTTTTTTTTTTTGGAGAGGTTTTTGCTATAGGGCGCATGCACTCGCCAGACAGACAGAGACATAGAGACAGAAAGCGAGAAATCACCCCCCAGGGGGGATAGCCACGCCGTAATCCCTTCTCCTCCGTTCTCCTCTCGGGATCTTGGGCATGCACGCACACGCACCCGGCGTGAGTTTTAGGCCACCGGGTCTGAGACGTGAACCACGTTCGACTGTCAGAAGGGGGACCAGCAGTTAGCGCAATGGCTATGTCGCTGGACTCCCACGTAGTTGAACGCGATTCGCGTCCCGGACCCGGTGGCCTAAAACTCACGCCACGCGCGTGCG